TAACTATCTCTGCTCTCTTTTATTTATCAAAACAATAATATTTTTCATAAAACGCAACACAGTGAAAGTTAATTTTAAAGCAAATTGTAAAAGTACAGGTGAATATTATATTAAAGTACCGCAAATCTGTTATATAGGGCTGTCAACTTTCACAAATTCAGACTTCAACGAGGGAAAAAAGGTGAAACGTAACTTGCAAATACCCTTAAAACATTAGAAAAGTTAGGCCCTGTCTCACCAAATTGTAAATTGTCTACTAACAAACCAACGTGTAAAATATGTGATGGAAATATAGTATTTTGTTCCCTTATCTGATAGTTACGTCATTTTTTATCTATCTGACCCTCTATCAGCCAGTGGTGCGACAGGCCCTTAATGTTATAAACGAAGTACCTAATTATTTTCGTGAGGTTGGTATATACACCATACCAAACTGAAAAATTCAAATCAAATACGATGACCAACCCTATACATTACAATTCCAAGTGTCTTAAGCTGTTAATGCGTTAACAAAATACATATTAAAACTTAAGAAATTGTGTGATAATCATGTTTGTTTTTTAATTGAAAAATGCAAGAGAAACGCATACATTCTACACTAATGTAATAAAGCGTAAACATAAACTTCTTTGTTGCCTAAGAAGTCAGCAATTACAGCCTACTTTCGAATAATTCTTTTTTAATGAAAATCCCTACACTTACGTCACGTTTTAGGCTATATATTTTCACTACATTAAACTTAGGGGGTAAATGTTTTGGATAAAAACCAAAACGTGGGAAAGAGACCATAAGTTGCTGCCAACATCAAGGAAGCAAGATTGCCAGGTTTGTCATGTGATTTTGACAATTGCAATTGATAATTTGATAAATGTAAACAATAAAGTAAAAGTTTCATAATTTCATGTGGATGAAGCCGCACGGGAACAGCTAGTAATTAAATAAAGCAATCGTATAGTGTGTAAGACCCCTAATATATAATGAATCTGAATAAAAAAAAACTTAAAATATGACAACTTATAAATACTGGTCGAATATAAAATAAAAAAAAAACATTTTGGATGACATAACGTCAAATCAGGGAGAAATTAATTTTGTCAAAACGTTCGTAAACTTAATACAATATACACTTTTTAAAGGTTTAATATTATTATAAACACTTATATAGATGATGGGAAGTTTTTCATCACCGGTGCCGTTATCGGACATTGAATCCGTCCTCGCTTGGGTTGACACATACAAACTGTCTAGACAAACGAAGAAAATATCAAGGGACTTCTCTGATGCTGGTATACTTTACAATATTCCGATTTTAAAATTTACTCAAGTGATCAATAACGCAGTGCCGGATTACCTATATAGCAAGAGTAGCAAATGCTACGGGCCCCGCGAATTTAGGGGCCCGGCACTCCAACGCCTGTCTCACAGTTATCAAAAAATATTAATTTGATTAGGAGCGTAAAATATCTTGCATGCCTTAAACGTGAAGTGCTAGGTTATATTCCTTCCAGTTTTCTGCTCCATACAATACCATAAACTTGACTAAAGTAAACCAAGGGCCCCTTGACAGAATATGCAACAGGCCTCGCGCTTGCTTAATCCGGCACTGAAATAACTGGACCTTACCTTAGACTTTTATAAAATTGTAGGTTAAATGTTACCAACTAAATAGGTTGTAGGGTATATCTGCTATATGTAAGGTTAATTCACCATAAATATTGTAATTATTTAAAAATTCCTAAGCGCCTATGAAATTATTTGATTTTTGATACTTCTCTACTAGAAAACTCAATACGTTATAAGGAAGATTATGAGGGCGATATTATCTTCATCATCATCTCCCCTGCCTTATCCTACTCCCGTAGGGTCGGCGCACCGGGTTTTCGTCCTACAAAGCACTCTATCATCCGTCATCTGTCATCACTCCCTTCTTGATCATGTCACCTTTCACGCAATCCATCCATCTCTTTCTAGGTCTACCTCTACCGATGTACCCCTTCACATTCATAACTAACGTTCTCCTTGTTACATGCGATTCATCCCTTCTTATAACATGCCCATACCACTCTAACCTTTTACTCCTTACATATTACAATTTACATCTTACATTACATTACGCCTTAGTTTCTTTAATGGGGATGTTTCCTAATGTTACAAATCCAAATAAAGTTATGTTTAATATTTTAAAGACAGCATTTTATAACCTATAATAACATTTAGAGACCTTGCATGTTTGTCTCAAATTAAATATAAATTAAAAACGCTGCAATATTTTTTACCCTCCATTACTCGATCTCAAACACCAATGACGTCACTTTCTTGCATATAACATGGCAGTGTGACCAACTTCAGTGAATGTCAGTGCATTTTGTAGTTATATTTTTTTCTAAATGATTGTAATAATTGAGTTTGCGTGTTTTATATTATGAGGACTCCAATTTTGAGTGTTTTTATAATTACGACATAAGTTATGAGCAAAACATTTTATGAATATTACAAAAGAAAAATATATCAAAATTCATAAGAGTAGCTTATAGTACAATTTAATTTATACCTGGTCACACTGGTGTAGGACGCAGTCACTGTTTACACACAAACATAATCTTCCACGAGAAGCAACAAGTGTAATTAATACGTTAAAAGTATCACCTTCTGTTCATTTTGGTTTTTTCATTTTTATCTCCATTACTAAAAACAACTTTATACAACAAAGATTTACGAGTATTATCAATCAATGGTTCTTTCAAATTGACAGTGACAGGCCGTGACGCGAGGTTCGTATGCAAAGAAGTGACGTCATGGGACGTTTTGGGGGGAAATGAAAGAGTTGTTTTTATTTACGTGTTTTTTTATTGAAATAATGAGTATTATATTTTATACTATTTTTTTTCGTGTTCATACATGGTTTATCTACAAAATAAAGGCTATTCCAAAAATTAGGAAACATCCCCATTCTAGTATGTTTGAATTACAGTGCTTCTCGCGGAAATATTAGGCGTACATTATCCGAAGCTGGTTGAAATGCACAACTACCCACCACGGAACAGCCAGGCGCTTAAACTAAACAACTGGATGACTTTAAATAGAAAAGTCTTGAAGAAATTAAAGTTAACCCTTTGTACTTCGACAATGGAGCAACTGGCTAATAACACACCTGGGGTTATCGAGAAAGTGCTTCTAATGGGTAAGAAATTATGTAAATTGTCTCTTTCTTTCCCTTTAAGAATATTGAGATGACAGTATATTTTTTACGAGTTACAACAGCAGAAACATCACACTACTAACACAAGTGATTTGCGACCTATGACGTCATAGTGTTTTTCAATGAATATAATGTAGCTTCACAGCTCACAGTTAAAACAATGGAATTGGAGGTGAAAGGTGACAGACAGATGAGTTGTATACACCTTTGTGTTTAAGAAAAAAATACGTAGTACATCAGTACATCAATTTTAAAGAAGTCAATAATGATGTAATTGTGGTTAAAATTTCCAAGGTTACGATTTATACCTTCATCTTTTATGGTGGATCACAATTTTCTCAGTCTTTGTTAAATTTTTCGGACCTTAAAAAACTAAACATATTAGTGAGAGTCAAAATGGCAGGTGTACCATAGCGAATTAAATTATACCACTCACTAAAAAATGTACCTAAATTGTACTATTTGGTACCTTGTATTTAGTACCTGCCATATTGACGTCAACATGGCAGGTGTAACTTAATTTCGCTGTAATTTCGTTCTAGATAAGGTAGTATTTATTTAAAATAAACAGTACCTTATCTAGAACGAAATTAAGTACTATTAGTACAATTTAGGTATATTTTTTAGTAAGTGGTATAATTTAATTCGCTATAGTACACCCGCCATTTTGACTCTCACAAATATTGGTAATGAAAGAATAATAGATTCCAATCTTTACTGAGTTGTTTTTGATAGTTCGTGATAAAATTCGACGCGATGATGAGGCACATAGAAGCTTGAAGGACTCTGAACAGAACCTCTCCAGTGGCGGCAGCTATTACGAGGCGTGCGGTGATGACGGTATACCCAGTTTTGTTCCATTAAACTACGGATCAATACTAATATTATAAAGAGGAAAGATTTGTATATTTAGTTATATTTTTGTATGTATTGAAATAACTTAAAAACTACTGGGCCGATTTCTAAAATTCTTTCACCATTAGAGAGGTAATTCATCAGTGAGTAACATAGGCTACCTTTTGTTTTTTTTTTTATTTCACGGGGAAGAAGTCTAGCAAAGGCCAGTATTATATAGAGGAAATATTTGTAATTTTGTATATATTGAAATAACTCAAAAACTACTGAGCCGATTTCTAAAATTCTTTCACCGTTAGAAAGGTAATTTATCTGTGAGTACCATAGACTATTTTAATTTCACGGGGACAAAGTCTAGCGACAGCTGGTGTTATTATAATCCTACTCGTATCTCATGGTACTCTAGGAGAAATTTATGTTTCATGTCGTGTGAAAATAAATCGTTAAGTAAATTAATGAACCATCTCACGGGGAAATGTTTAGAAATTTAAATATACAGAGTAAGTTAATGATTACTCCAGAACCAGTATACTTAGGTCTTTACGATAATTATTGTGTTTTATGGAACACTTTTACTATAATCTATGTTTTTATTTTATGAATATTATTTATACAGGTGACGTCAGATGTTCTAGTAAGGTTTAATCGTCTATTCATCTAGTAAAGTGTGGATTGATTCAAAAGTTATTTTGTACCTAATTTACATTCTGCAGTTCTCTAGCTGTAAATGTAATCGCAGAGCCCAGGATAGAGCGAGCTTGCGGCGTACTGTGGACACCCTCTGTCCCACTTTGGGGACATAGAAAACAGAGTTCTCGAAGGCTTAACGCTTAAGGGGACATTTTTGTGCTCCGTACGGAGATCCTATTCCCCTCTTTTTAGGGATGTTGGAGACCACCGTTTGGTTTTAGTCGGTGCGAGTCCGACATATTCCGACTCTAGGTTCCAATGAGTCGGAATATGAGTAGGCATTTCCCCTCGTTAATAAAATAAAATGGGCTACAGTCCTCTTACCTTTCTGGCGATGCACCTATTACACATTATTTACATAAAAACATTTTCTACAAATTTCGGTATTTTTTCCTGCAATTAAATTGCGTATAACTGTAGACTGTAAAAGGCTTTGGAGACCTATGTCTAGCAATGGACTGATACATGCTGATGTTATTTTGTTAAAACCTTCAAATGCATTTTCCACACGGCATGTTACAAAGAGAATGTTAGTTATGAATGTGGAGGTAGACCTAGAAAGAGATAGATGGAGCGTGTAAGGTGACATGTTAAAAAAGGGAGTGATGATTGAGATGACGCATGATAGAGTTATGTGGAGGACAAAAATCTGTTGCTCCTACGGGAGTGGGATTATAAGGAAGATGATGATGAATTCAATTATCCACAGAGAATGTTCTGGTTGTACCACTGAAGACGAGGGTTAATGGATATCTCGAGACTATACAACAGAAGGTCGTCAGTCACGCGTCTTATCTCACGCAGAAACAGGAGCTGAAAGATTCTAAAGAGGTCATAGAAGTTCTCAAACAAAAGGTAACTATATTTTATATAATTCTTCTCAACGAGTTAGATATCTATACTTCTTTGTTGCCTAAGATGTCAGCAATTACAGCATATTTTTAAATAATTCTTTTTTTAATAAAAAGCCCCACACTTACGTCACGTTTAAGGCTATATATTTTCACGCCATTAAACTTAGGGGGTAAATATTTTAGATAAAAACCCTAATGTGCGAAAGAGACCATAAGTTGCTGCCAACATCAAGGAAGCAAGGTTTGTCAGTGTCATGTCATTTTGACATTTGCAATTGATAATTTGACACATGTAAACAATAAAATAAAATTTTCTTAATATTATGCGGATGAACTCGCAGGGGAACAGCTAGTATTTAGATAAAGTATTTCCCCCTTTTTAGACATCAATGATATCCCTTTTTGACCGACTTCCCAAGAAGGAGATATACAATTCGCATGTATGTTTTTTTTTGTTCTTCTTAAGTTTCTAATATTTCTTTATAATATTTTCAATATTCAGCTCCTTCTAATATTATTATGTACTATATTTTATCCTTAGTTCGATAGTGTACAGTGTGAAAAACTAATTTTAAAAGTCGAATTGGGGGTTAATATAAAGTACATCAATAGACTTATTAATTCGATTGGAGTTATTCTACAATAAGTTTGATTATTAGTATTAACTGATAGGTGGTCAATTACTATCCCATATACCTTATTTCTGATTTAATTTCTTATCACAGGTCGATCATCTCGACAGTTTAGTGAAACTGAAGAACGAGAGAATAGAAGATCTCCAAAGACAACTAGAAAGGAAACAAACAAGACGCAAAGAAGTCGAAACTCTCCAGAATAGTTTACAAGTACCTTATGATATTTCAGCGCCTCCGTCACCGAAGGAGAATGAAGTTATCGCATTCCCAGTGAAAGTATCTTGTACAAAAATTGTAGACACAAAAAATTATAGACTGGACGAATCTAAAATACCGATATCTAAAGAACTCGCGAAATCAACCTCGAGATTATGTACAGTTAGTGTTGATGATATTTCTGAATCAAATTTACGGATTGATAAAATTAAATTGGACGATTACAATGAGATAGAAATAATAGAAATGACAGGAAAGGATTTACAAGATGTTGATGAATTTAAAGATAGTGTTGGTGAAATTATTCTAGGGGCGGAAGTGAAAGACACTAACGAATATATGTGATATTAAATGTGTAAATGATTTTCTTTTACTGCACTCAGAGTAGTTTAAATGAACAGTTAGTGCAGTGTTTAAATATTGGACTGTTAGTAACAACCTCTCTGAGTGCGACAGTTGTCATTAATGATAGATGTTTGTAAGGAAAATATGGTTAGATTATTGGGAAATTTTAGTTGATAAATTATGGGATTTAAAAACTTAGTCCATGAATTAATATTTCAAATTAAGATATTACGATGATTGATTTTTTTAGTTTTCTGGGTCAAAATTAGAATAGGCTAAAATATAATATCGGTTTTGATTGATTTTTTATTTGAAATTAAGGTTTTGTTAATGATAGATGGGTACCGATAATTATTAAAAAATCTGATTTTACGAACGTGGCAAATACGACCGTGGATTTCCATAGCTCAAACTCCTATAGATATATCGTTTTTCAGATTTTTCAAAGGGAAAGAAAGAGACGTATTACAATGAAAATTCATGGTTAACAATTTCACTAAATTTAAATATGTTTTTATCCAAATGTATAAAATCTTTAATTTAATATGGAATTAATGTTATTCATTATATTAAAATAAGACATTTGTTATGATTATACTTTATTTTGTTAATATTACAAAAATATAAAACTGCAACAATTGTTGGTTTCTTTTATATATTTCAAAACCTTTTAAATAAACAATGTAACTAATGTAATTTGTTTAATTATACTTCGACAAATTTTCAATAAGAAAGTACAAGCGACAATTTGCAAAGATACTTTTGTATTTATATTATATTTAAGAAAATCATAACAAAGGGTTTTTCGCTTTATTTAATAATCTAAAGAAAAAGAAAGAACAGAAGAAAGAAAGAACAGCTGTTCCCTACTTTGTCCATTATCTGACGACGCCTGTGAATTAACTATATGTACAATCGCGGAAATCAGCAGTGTTCCACTTTTGGAAAAATTGCCTCGTTCATTGCAACGAGACAATCTCCGCTTTTACAAATAACTAAATAGTAGTGAGTAAACGAAAGTATAATAATAAAAATAAACTGAGCGCGTATCAATATTTTTTTCCTATAGACAGATAAGTGTTGTTTAATCCGCGTTTCATTCTAAAATGTTCAAACGTAGCTATTAAGAAACACCGACAGTTTCCCCGATTGTACAAAGTTAAGGTTGAAATAACGTACTTTACAAGATAAAGGGAACCTTATAACAGAACTTGATGTAATTGTTGTTTAATGAGCGTTGTTAGGAAACATGTCGCACAAGCTCGGCCGTTTCCTGAGCATGTTTTGTATTTCAAACAATCTGTTATCTTTTTTCTTTTCCATCGTGTGTCTGTTAAAAACATATAATTAGATAATTAAGAATGCAATTGAAATAAAAAAAAAATACTTTAGTTTTCGCTCTTGATTCCGTCTAAGTGGAAATATAAATGTAAGTAGCCTGTGTTCCAGACTATCTACATCTATGACTTCCGAGATCCGTTCATATTAGGCTACAAACTCTAACATACATAATAGCACATTTAATATCCTTACAACTTGAGGGCTTATTACGTATTTTCATGAGAATGATTTCGTAACTTCATCAAGTAAATTTGTACTAGATTCTATTTGTAATACTCGTAAATTTTATGAATTAATATGAGTACCATTTCGCAACTGTTATTTGTTAAAACCCCCTGGAAATTTCGAAGACAATATTTAATTAAACTCACGTGCTGTTGTCACCATTCTGTCCAACCACTTTGAACCTATTGAACTCAATAGTTGTGTCGAAGAAGAATTTCTTGTTGATTTCGTTTATAGCTCTCTTCACAGGCAATAAGTCTTCAACTGGAAATAACAGTGCAATTGCTTTACGCGCAATCTACATTTTAAATACACGCTAAAATATATTTGAAAAAATAATTAGAGTGATGAATTGGATATAAGTTTGGCGTTGTACTTAAACGTGAGATACACTTCTTTGTTTTCTAAGATGTCAGCAATCATAGCATATTTTTTTAAATAATTCTTTCTTTAATAAAAAGCCTTACACTTACGTCACGCTTTAGGCTATATATTTTCACGCATTTAAACTTAGGGGGTTAATAAATTGGATAAAATCCCTAATGTGGGAAAGAGACCATAAGTTGCTGCCAACATCAAGAAAGCAAATTGCGATAGTAAGGTAATTGGTATTTTGACATTTGCAATTAATTATTTGACACATGTAAGCAATGAAATAAATATTTTCATAATTTTATGCGGATGAAGTCGCAGGGGAATAGCTAGTTATAATATAAATGAATACCGTTATAAACAATTCCATGCACTTTTTCCTCAACAGTGTCAACAGGGCAGGTGCAAGGCGGCAGCGTGAAGGCGGAGGTCTGCGCGGCCACGGAGTTGCTCCTCTCGTCCCACTCCTGCAGCGGAGACTCCTCGCCAGCCATCACATCCTGTCTGGACCTCCTTTTCCTGCTCTCTATACGCTGTCTTAATATATCCAATTGTTCTGGAAACATCGTCATTATCACCTCCTTATCTATGCTAATATTATAAAAAGGAATGAATTGTATTTTTGTATGTATTCGATTCTCGTAAAAACTACTGGACCGATTTCAAAAATTCTTTCATCGTTAGAAAGGTAATTTATCTGTGAGTAACATAGGCTATGTCATTATTATTTTTTTAATTTCACCTAAACGGAGTCGCGGGCGAAAGCTACTATAAAATAAATACGAGAAGCCATCCGCGTGGAATTGACATGAGTTCCAGAGTTTGTTCTACATCTATGTCAAATTGTTATTGTTGTCTTCATTTGAAATAACTAATTAGATATTGACTGTTATTTTTAAAGACGGAGTTTGTCTCGTGGCTATGAACAAGGCAATTTGAAACTGAAGGCACCGCGTATTTCCCCGACTGTACATCGCGCGGCTAAACTCTATTACTATTTAAATAGTGGTAGAGCCCACTTTAATATCTTCGGATTAATACCACGACCACACAGAAGACACACGGGAAGTGGAAGCAATTCCGTGTTTCGTCTAATGAGATTGGTGCCGGAGGCCTAATTTTAGTCAAGGAAAGGATGGGAAGGGAAAGCGGATTTGACGGTGGAGGATGCATAGGAAGGGAAAATATCCTCTTTATGTGCGTATCCTTCTCCCTTGATTAAGCGTAGGCAATATTTGCAATTGCGGATGTCTATAAGCATCGATAGCTTCGCTTTCTCGGCGAATTCAGGTGGCCGCTCGTTTGCTACCTTGGACTATAAACGAACTCACCGGGAGTGAAGGGTACATACTGCTCGTATGTGTTCTCGAAGTGCATGTAGGGGCTGGCCTGCATGTACGGCGGCAGCGAGCGTATGAACGAGTCCACTTGCATCTTCTGACACTCCTCCATTGGACATACCTGGATACATCATACTTATTACTAATACTAGCGCGGAGGCTTAGGCTTAAGAGGAAAGGATGGGAAGGAAAAGTGTATGTGACGGTGGAGGAGACGCGTAGGAAGGGGAAATGTCCTCATTATGTGTCTCATCTGTCAATGAAGGGTAGGCAACGCTGCAATTGCGGATGTTTGTGGGCAGCGGTTGCTTTCTATTTCGGTGGATGCAGGTGGCCGCTTGCTCGTTTGCCACCTTATATTATAAAAAAAAAACTAATATACCACATACTAATATTATAAATACCACCACATACTAATAATAATGTGAAAGTTGAGATGGATGGATGTTTGTCAGACTTTGTAGCCTAAACGGCCGAACATTTTTCAATGAAATTTGGTATATATGTAGAGGATAGGCTGGAAGAACACATAAGCTACTCATTTTTTTTTAATCCACGCGGACGGAGTCGCGGGCGAAAGCTAGTTACTAAAATATATTATTGGACTAAAATTGTACAAAGTCAGTGGGACTCTGTCTCCTGAACTATGTAGTAATTGTGTTTCAGGAGGCAAAGTTTTCTCTTTACTATTGTGTTGACATGTAATCAGGTACAAGGACCAATTATTGACCTGTATGTTTTATCCGACATTTTAAGGAAAATATCTTAATGTCGAAGAAATTTAAAGATAGAAGTCAACTCTATGAATATAACTATGTCTAGTCAACTTAATTTGGATACTCTCAAGTATAAGCCGTGAAAGAATCGACATACATAATTAAAAAATGTAAATAAGGTTGGAGACCTTTTCATAGTTAATCTTGGCGTCTTGATCCGGCACGTGGCTCGGGATAACGTGCATGCTGTCGTTATGAATACTCCTGTATGAATTATGGAAATTATTTTAACAGGTTTATTGGTACAAAATATATAATAACCCAAAACTAAATTTAGCACACATACAGGACATATAAAAAAATAAAGAAAATACTAAATATATACGCAGCTAGATTATGTTATTAGTTAGAAAGAGTTGTTCGATTTATTTCATAGTTTAAATTACGATATGTTAGTAAAAATATTTAGTTTATAGAAATATATGTATTAATAAATGTATGTAGAAATTACATAGTTTTGTAATAAATTTAAGCTATTAATGAATCAATAAAAAATATACATTTATTTATCATGAGTTTTCCCACTCAAATAGAGTCAATGTACCAGGTTTCGTCCCCCATTTTATATTCATTTGTATTTGAGATGATTACACAAGAAAGTAATGTCATTGGATGTGGAAGGTTACAAAGGTAGAGAATTATCAAAGAAAATGTGGAAGGATTATGTGAAAAATGTGTAAAGATAAACGTAAGGGAGTGAATACAAATAAGACAGTTAGGAGTTACTTATGATATTTAGAAGAATACATGTGCCAACACTACTTAAGGAAAAGGTTGATGGTGTAAAAGTTTATATTTTATTATTTAAATTATAAATAATATTTACCCCAGAGCTGAAAACGATTCTTCGATGATTTCATCTTCTTCAACTTGTGATACTTCTTGTCTAAAAAAAGGCAGTTTTAAACTTTTGGTTTAATTAGAAACGTACAAGTAATTAAAATAAACAGCTATATCTTTCTCATTAAAGAGAAAGAGAGATGTCTATATGTTTCATTGTTGAATCATTTGTATATAGGAATGATTTGATTTGGTAGTTGGTACAGCGTTCACATAAAATATATGGTTACTAGCTTTCGCCCATGACTCCGTCCGCGAGAGATTAAAACAAAAGTAGGTAGTCTATGTATTCTTCCAGACTATCCTCTATATCTACACTAAATTTAACCGTTTAGTCTAAAAACTGTAACAAATAAACATCCATCTAAACTTTTGCATTTGAATGCGTTTGTTACCTGGGCATTGTTTCCACTTCTTCGGAATAATCTTGACTTATTTCTGGATAATCGTCAAATTTTGCAGTCTAAAAATTATTGTTCAATATAATAATATATAACATATAAAAGAATAAATTACTAATGTAAGAAAATATGCTTACTCGTTTATTACCAATGTTTATGACGACTTTGCTATGTCCTGAATTTCTGACTTTCTCGCGCTAAAATAAAATAACACTCTTTTTATTTATTATGGCTTTCTTGTTTTTTTTTAATTGTGGATAGAGGACATAAAGACCGATGAAATACCCCTTTTCTTTACGTTCTTAAATTTCCGATGAGAAAGAAGACGAAACGAGGATTTACTTTCATATAAGTGTAGTATGTTCTGGGGTTTATAAAAAAAACTAGACTAACTAAGAATGTAAAATCAACTTTTTTACATCAGTTTTTAATGTGGGTAGCAAAATTATTCCACATTTTTACGCAACATGGCGAGAGTTTTTATTCCTTTTATTATATATTTTCTGATATTTGCAGTATTTACAAAACACACGACATACCAGTTTAGTAGTAGAAGCGATCTCCATGGAGTCCCGCGCGCCCAGTATGGTGGCCCGCGTCGCCGGCTGCCCGTACGCTGAAGACGCACTGAAATTAAAATCAAACATTAAAGTAAAATTATCAGTAATTAGAATTCAATTTTCTTAACTAGAAAGGATTCAATGGTATATTTATGCAGACAGTCACAAATCGACCAGAATAAGGATCCGTTACATATACAGGAGTATAGCAGATTTTATCCGAAACCAAATTGACCTTAATGTTTCCTCTATGGAAATTTTACGCTTGCTCTTTAAAAAAAGACGTACAAAGTATGATTACGGGCTCAGATAGCTTAAAAATGACGTCCCTATCAGATAAGGTTACAAAATCCGATATTTCCATCAAATATTTTACACGTTGGATTGTTTTCAGACAATTTATAATTTGGGCGGACAGGCCCACAGTGGCAGTTTTTATGTTGTAAACAATCGAACGTGTAAAATATAACAGTCATTTTTAAGCTATCTGAGCCTTTATCAGCCAGAGTTGGGACAGGCAATAAGTATAAAATATTAATCTATAAAATACTTGCATTATCTTTAGTATAGAGCCCATATTCCCTCGGATGTCGACGCTCGCCTGCGTCACTCGGTGGCTTGTACTGCTCTGGAATGCAGAAAAAATGGTAAATAGGTAATTAATTTAATTTTCCATAGGTTCTCATTGGGCAAATACTTTTAGTTAACATTTTTTGCTATCTCCTTATTTCCAAAATTAAAGAACAGTGAAATCAATGATATTATATACTAGCTTTCGCCCGCGATTTTGTCCGCGTAGAATTAAGAAAACAAAAATGTGTAGCCTATGTGTTCTTCTAGACTATCCTCTACGTCTATGCCAAATTTCATCGAATTTCGTTCAGCTGTTTAGGCTACAAACTTTAACAAACATCCATCTAAACTTTCGCATTTATAATATTAGTAAGAAGTATGATTGCTAAAATTCAACACTAGTAAAAGAGTAAACACATGAAATAAGAGAACTATTAATATAAAATTAAACCAGTAGACCTAAAAAGATGACATGATCAAATAGGGATACAAGGAACTATAATTGGTGCATTTACCTTACACGTGTGGGACAAGGACGGAATTATTTATATACCTCTCTTTCAGTCTGTATGGTGGAGCACTCCCATTTGCCGGGTTTTGGCAACAGTTTGAGATACTCGTCTTTAATGAAACCAGCATTGGGGCATTGAGACTTCACAAACTTGTCATTGATAACTGCAAGAAAGAAAATAATTAAGTAATGAAAATACTCGAAAAATTAAACCACTAATAACAACTGATATATTATAACAGTAGGCATATTTGGAAAATTTTTAAAAGAGTTTTCGTAACGCAACGTATTAGATTTGTAGAGCGTTACCGGGCGTAAACATAAATCTCATACAAATTGTGTCGATAACAAAAACTATCTCACTTTTCGTGATAAACCCTGTGAGAAGTCCTTAAAAGTGACTTTCATGAAACAAAACAGCAATCGGCTTTTATTTAAATCTTATCACAACACTGTTTAAAATAAATTAAAAAAAATGTGAGTAAAATAAAAACCTAATGTAAACCTTAATATTAATAAACTTAAAAATATAAACTTTGTTTACTGGTGTAAAATGTATAGAAAAGTTTCTCATGCAGTGAATTTTGTAAATTCTTAAACATCTTAGACTAGTTATAGTTTTATTATGTTGACAGTGGTAGAGCCCGCTTTAACATCTTAGCACTGTAGAGCCGGCTCGCCCGGTGTAATACCACGACCACATAGAAAACAGGTATGAAGTGAAAGCAATTCCGCGTACAGTCTGATGAGTGTGGTGCCGGAGGCCTAATTTTAGTCCCTTACCCTTTTCACCCTTTTTTTAAGATGAAGGGATGGGAAATTAAAGTGGATTTGACGGTGGAGGAGATGCAAAGGGGAAATGTCCTCTTTATGTGCATTTCCTCCTCCGTCAATGAAGGGTAGGTAACGCATCTGCAATTGCGGATGTTTATGGGCAGCGGTCACTTTCCATTTCGGTGGATTCAGGTGGCCGCTTGCTCGTTTGCCATCTTATATTATAAAAAAAAAAAAAACTAACACACGTCTGTTTAGTCTCGCTTTAATTCTTATGAGTTTATATGGAAGTGCACACAACTCGATCGTTAGTTGTGCAACTGAACAGTTGAGTCGCGAAACAATGGACAATCGCACAACAGTGCGATAGTTTAGACATCTTACCATAATTTTCCCATTCGTTAGGCGGTTCTTTGGCAGATTTTAATGTTTTCAATACGTTTCTACGTAAATTCGGTTTGAATTCTCCCATGTCACCGTACATCACGAATGGTGCGTTACTATCTTCCAGCATGTCGAACCACGGCCTGTCATCGGGTCGTTCTAGAATATTAAATATTAAATATAAAAAAAAAAACATAATTTTATATATAAAAATTTAATATTACGCCGTGGTCCAGAAATATGATGTTTATTAATAGTTCCTTAACATTAGTAATAATAACAATATATCCTATGTTACTCACAGATAAATTTCCTTTCTAATGGTGAAAGAATTTTTATAATCGGTCCAGTAGTTTTTGAGTTATTTCAATACATACAAAGTACAAATCTTTCCTCTTTGTATTAAAAGTATAGACTAGCTGTTCCTCGCTACTTCGTCCAAGTGAGATTAAAAAATATAGCCTTCGTTACTCAGCGATAACGTAGCTTTTTAATGATGAAAGAATTATTGAAGTCGACCCAGTAGTTTTTGAGTTATATAAATGTATACAAAAATACAAATTTTACCTTATTATAAGTTTAGACTAGCTGTTGCTCGCGACTTTATCCGCAAATTAAAAAAAGAATATTAAAAATAACCTGATACTCAGTGGTAACGTAGCTTCTTAATGGGGAAAGAATTATTGAAGTCGACCCAGTAGTTTTTGAGTAATTTCAATATATACAAAAATACAAATCTTTCCCCTTTAATATTAGTATAGACTAGCTTTCGTCCGCGACTACGTCCGCGTGGTATAAAAAGTAATTATCCCATGTGTCCTTCCACACTACGTTCTACGTCTACGACAATTTTCATTAAAATCTTTTCAGTATTAGGCGGTAAACTAAGATACATCCATCTAAACTTTCGCATTTATAATATTATCAAAATCAACAACAATATATTTGAATATGACATGAGTTTAATACAGACATAAATAAAAGCATCCTATTGGTTAACATTTCGCATCTCAACGCGTACAAAACATTCAAACGATTTTAGCTTCTAAAGTGAAGCGATTCCCTAACTTTATTTACCAATTTCGCTTAATTTCGGTTCCGCAACAGATATTGTAGAATCAACATCGACTGGTTTGAATACCGGTAATTCAGTCTCGATAAGTTTTGCCATATCGAAGAAGTATTGATTCATCTCAGGCGTGTCGTTAATGAAATTGTTCACGAAACATTGGTACTGTGGAAATAAATGGAACAGAATTAACTTCATAAATAAAATAGTAATTAATATAGAAAAATACATGGTAAACCGTATTTTTATGACACTCTTATGGCCTGTACTGGCTGATAGAGGCTCAGATAGCTTAATGACGTCACTGTCAGATAAGGTAATAAAATCCGATATTTACACCACATATTTTACACGTAGAATTGTTATCAGACGATTTACAATTCGGTGGGACAGGCCCTTGGGAATACAACACTAATGATAGGTACCTCAATTGGTAAAATCAGTAAAATTAGGGTAGCAAAGAGAATTATGTCAACCGCGACTCCAACCAAATAAATCTTAGTAGCCTATCTGTTTTTCCAGACTTTATTCTAGTCTATGTTAAATTTAATCGAGATCCGTTCAGTAATTTAGGTGGAAAACTCTAACAAACATCCATCTAAACTTTCGCATTTATAATATTAGTAAGATAATCTGACAAATACAGTTATGTTTGTTTTTTTTTTTAAATATACAAGCAAATACTTTAATTTCATACTTGTTTGTCCTGAAGATAAAAGCATATAATATAGTTAATTACATTAATGTTTTAACCTCTTTTATGACTTCTTTCATTTTATTTCTCCAACTTTCATCGAGTTTGGATCCGGTTTTATATCCGTTAACGAGACGCAGTATGAGCGCTTGCGCGTCGATTAACGTCTCTTGCAACACGTCGATGTATTTTGTATATTCTGTGAAAGTTATTTAAATACATTAAGAAATATTTCATGTAATGATAATAAAACATGATTTTATTGATATATTCTGTTTTTAAATCCAGTGTAGCAACTTTTACGCGCCATTAACATTATGTAATTCATTTAAAATGTAAAATATTAGTTAAAAAACATTTTATTTAATATAAGAAATAACCATAATTTAATTTTCCTCTGCATATTTCAATGTGCATATCAAAATATCTTATCTATAACATTGCGGAAATTTTTCTACAGGCGTTTTTGCACTTTGTAGTTTTGTTCTTAAACAACAGTTAATTATTGCTAATTAATTATTGTAAGATGCATAGTAACCTTGTGCCATCTGCATCTTCTCTAGCTTGGTTTTTCTTCTCTCTGAGCAAAGAACGTACATTAGTCCCGCGAGGTTCTTGCATTCAAGCTGCGTTTGTAACGCGCTAATCTTTTCCTTCCTTTCTCTGTACGCTTCACCTAGCATGTACGATGTTCGGATCTGTTCATTTCTGTGAATTTAGCAAAAGAGTGTTTAGGACATAATTATAATAAAACGTTAACAAAACAATAACTTCCAATCAGCATTAAAACGTTGGTATGGGTAACGATCTTTTAAAATTGAGTGACGGTTTCTTGTATAAAGGTAATTTAAAAGTTTGCCGAAGATCGTTGAAAGCTAGTAAAGTATTTAATTATCTGTGGTTCAAAGGTATATTTTTAATATAGCCTTATTAATGAAAGAAATGCCTCAAAAAGGACGCAACAGTAAAATAACGCCATACTGAATTACTTACTCCAAAATAAAATCAAATCTTTCCTTCAAACTCTGAATCTCTCGGTCTAATCTTTTTTCATATTCTTTTCTTAAACTTTCTTCTTGGTCCTTCAGTAATTCATCGACATCACCTTGGGGTATTTGTTTCTTCTGTGTAAGACATTGGCATCGGGTTGTTGACTGGCCATTCTTCTGTACGTTGGCGTCCAATTTTACTGATGAAGAAGTAGGTGACAGTTGCTCTTCTCTAATAACTGCAAGAGTTTCCCCGCTCTCTGACACGTTTTCTTTACGCGACATCTGTAAATATTCTCTTTTTATGTTAATTGATTCATAACCTTTTTACAACCTCCTTGATTCCTTTATTGTAATACTGGCCGCATTTTTAGCACGTGATTCAAGACAAAAGAACAACGCAATTAAAAAGTTTGCGATTTTCTTCAAACAGGCATTTTATAAACATAAGAAGTAAATGAACATATTTTTTTTTCTTTAATTCGATATTTGAATTGTTTAAAACATTATTACAATACCCGCTAAATATTAGTATTTCAACACCCACTCGAAATATTAGCAAGATATCTTTATTTATACTATGTTATGCGGGAGTAAGTTTTAAATATAAAAATGTGATTATGACATACAGAGCGTTTGAATTTATTTTATTATAGTCATTATACTGACACCTCAAGGGACCGAAATAAATTGTACGGATTTTAAAAATAAACTAGGAAATACCAACGCGTGTATTCTTTTAATAATCAAAGAGTGTCTTATAAGCAAAATTCAACACGTGTGGAGTTAAATTTTTAATGTCCATTATAAACGTAAAAAGGGTTAAATTATCTTTGTTTATGAAAATCCTTGAAAATCGGAATGATTTTTATCATTTTACGAGCTTCCAAGCTCCATCAGTGACGCCATCTAAATCATAATTTGGTTACTTTGTTGAGACCGTCTATCATAAAAACGACTGAAAATATTATTCGTTTGCAATTATTGATTATTTAAAACTTAAGTTTATAGTGGAAACAAAACAGTTTTGTGTAAAATATTATTTATTTTTGTAGTTATTATTATGGCAATGGCAACAATGAGATTCCAATTTTTGCTGTCGTCTGTCGTGCGTGAAGTTTGTAGCATGTGATGTTTCATGAAAAGTGTTAATTTTTTTAAGACTATAGTTTTAAAATATGGACTGAATTGTGCCTGAAAGTGTTGAAAAATAATTATAGTGTGTGCTTCCAGTAGTGTGATTGTGGTATATACAGGAATTGCATAAAATACGTATTACATGGATATAGCCGTCACTTGAGGTTGTAAAAGGTTAGTGCTTTTTTCGTCTGTTGTTTGTCTTAAAATAGAATCTTGTGCGGGTTGCAATGATATTTCAGATTTGTTTGTGTAACGGCTTCATGTGACTTTTCAGTTTTTTCATAGGACCTTGAACTAGAAACTTTTAGGTGCCTTTTTTCGCTATCAAGGTTAGGTTCGAGAGCCCGCGTTTTGTCACTGATGTTTATTTTGTTTTATATAATTACTTGTAAATATGCAAAACTTAGTTAAAAATGCTTAGATTTTATTTTCGTGGATATTCATTCGATTCTCGCATAATTATTGAGAACAGTCGGCACACCTAACCTATACGAGTTTGAGCTTATTTTTTGTGCAGCTTTTTACGATTGAATGTTTAACCGTTATCTTTAGTAGAGCAAACGCAATTAGGAGTACTGAATACCGTCGTTTTAGCTTCGAAAGTTATAAATCGCAATAATTGTGAAGGTTTTTGGTGTTGTTATTGCATTTTGACAGTTAAGAAAAAAATATGAACTTGAAACGTGCGCGATAGACTTGCGGTTGAAAACGTGTTATAAATACAATATGCGTTTAAAAGTTAAACTTTTATGAGTGTTTGTATTAAAAATGTGTGTAAACTATAAATTACATTTATTTAATTACATATTGATTTAAAAAATCATCTAGGGAGTTAAACATATGGTAACTTATTTTCTATCTTTAATTAATTTCTAATAATAACTGATAGATGGATGGATGTTTGTAGCTATATATCTTCAGAACTATTCAGTGGATCTCGCTGAAATTTAGCATAGATGTAAAATTTAGTCTAAAAGAACATAAAGGCAATTAATATTTTTTTTTTATTTGGATTGTATCACTATATATAATTAGAAGAAGTTTGAAAGTAGCCCCAGGGGTAAGAAAAGTAAGGAGTAAAAGGTTAGCATGGTATGGGCATGTATTAAGTGGAATGAATCACATGTTACAAGGAGAATGTTAGTTATGAGTGTGAAGGTACACCAGTAGAGGTAGACCTAGAAAAAGATGGACCATAAAAGGTGACATGACCAAGAAGGGAGTGATGACTGAGATGACATTGTGCCAACCCTATGTGAGTAGGATAAGGAGAAAAATGATTATATACTATATTACTATAGTTTCATAATATCTAAATTTATGTTGTCATCAGGCAATACCATATGCACCAAAATTCTATGTATTTTTATTGCAATTGGAGCGTATCTAATTGCATGAAATACTAACTCAAAACATGCATTGATAGATTCAACTATGCCTTTTTGAATCAAAACATTTTGTTGAATAATTTAGTATTACTGGCTCCTACATAAAGTATCATAAGCCACAAAAGATGATTTACATCTTATTTTGTCTATAAATATGAATTTTTGCGTGAAATACAAATTAATGTTGTAAGAACTGTAGATTTTGGTTGTCTATTATTCATATGTGATGCATAGTAATCTATACATATAATAAAATTGGAATGTCTGTAGTATAAAAAGAAAAATTCCAGATTTTGGGAAAGTGGTGTATTTGTGTTGCTCATAACTAAATCATGTTTAAAAAATTTTTGCCTGTCTGTCTGCAAGCTGTGTTTGTTCTAGGTAATCATCTAAATGGCTGATTTCAATTAGACTATTACTGAAAGGTAGCTAACATAGATGGTAATATAGGCTACTATTTTTATCTTAATTTCGCATAGACGAAGTCGCGGTCAACAGCTACTTAATCATATAAAAGTTTAAAGTCTAGCAAAATTTGTATTTCAAACTTATGATAGCTTACGTGTAAGTCATCCTCACAAAGTATTTCACCATATGAGTAAAAATTGACGAAACTTGTTTATTGTAGAATACAGATAAAGTTGGTGTAGGTCAGAATAATAATAACAGTAAATGTAAAAGTATTTACCAAGTAAAAACTTTTATCTATACTTCTATACTAATATAATAAAGTGTAAACACACATGTTACACTTTACGCTATATATTTTCACGCTATTATACTTAGGGGGTAAATAAATAGAAAAACCTTTATGTGGGAAAGGAACCATACAAGCTGCCAACATTAAGGAAGCAAAGTTATTTTGGTTATTTTGACATTTGCAATTGAGAATTTGACAAATGTAAACAATAAAATAAAGTTTTTATGATTTAATGCATATGAAGCAGTACGGGAACAATTAGTCTTTTATATAGCACTAGCTTTTTTATGCGATTATGTCTGTGTAAAATGAAAAAAAAAAAACATTAAAACATGTGTTCTTTCAGACTATACTCTACATCTTTGTTAAATTGAATCTAAATCAGTTCAGTAGTTTAAGCTACAAACTGTAACAAACTTAAATTTACACTTAACATGTTGTGGGAAAATAAGAAATTAATTTCTTTACTATACATTAGAAAGTGAAGGTAAAAGAAATAATTGAAAAGCACCCAGGTCAGGGTTTTTATGTTATTGCTTAGGCTGTAAAAGTATATACATAAATTATAAATGCAAAAGTTTAGATGGATGGATGTTTGTTATACCATAACGGCTCAAACAGTCACAATTACATTTGCCACAGATGTAGAACATAGCCTGGGAGACCACAAAGGCTTATTACATTTATTTTTTAAAAATAGCCACAGCTTTTATTGGTTATGTGCACTATCAGAAATGTATGAATATTGCTGGTCACTACAACATTGAACTAAATAAATTTTGACTGTATTCCATACATCTTTACTTGCTTCTTTAATATGTTATATGTTTTACTTAATTCTTGACTGTATTATAACAGTAGAACCTAAATAACTCAAACCTCGGTAACATAAAAACCTCTATAACTTCAAAGAATATGTTCCCTTCCCATCAGAGCCCAAAACTTCTATAACATAGACCCTTGATAACTTAAAACCTCTATAAATTAAAATATTTTGTGTTTCCCTTGGACTTTAACTTATTGAGGTTCTACTGTGTTATGACTATTATTGCTGATATGGGCAAATGGAATTGTTTCACCATTTAAATGTAACTTCTTATTAATACTGCTAGTTATCTATTTTGGTATTACCAATACGGGAAAACATGATTCACATTGCTTTTATGTATTTGATCATCTACTTTGATTTTTTATTGGTTTACAATGTCTGTTTCTAAAATTGCTTATTATTATACAAAAAAAAAATCCAATTTTGTTCAACTTGTGAAGGATTTAATTGTAACATTTATGTCCTAAGGATACGGTAACATATTTAAAAATGTGCATGTCTTGCTCATTTGCTACCTTATAAATTATATTTAACGCCTGTCCCACCCCTGGTTGTTAGAGGTTCAGATAGCTTAATGAAGTCACCGTCAGATAAGGACACAGAATTTGATATTCCATCACATTTTAGATGTTGGATTGTTATCGGACAATTTACAATTTGGTGGGACAGGCCCTTAAACTTTCAATATAGGCTGTTACTATGTTACATTACAGTGATGCTAAAATAACAAATTTCTCATGTGAATATCAGCACTTTAGTATTGCGTAAAATATGTATGTAAATGCATATTTTCTTTATAATAACCCAGTTTTCATAATTGTTGAGTCAATGAATTAAATTAGCAAATTTAATAAACTGCCTATCTACTTTTTAATATTGTCAATAACAAAATGTGTGTTTTTTTTTTAATCTTTAATATTTGGCCGCTATACAGAATGCATCCTAAAAAAAACTAATAAACCTAATAAAAATAACTAGTAAGACTCTCATCTCTATTTAATGTAGCTGTTAAAATGTAATAAAACCTAAGCAACTTATAGGTGACTAAATGACAAATAACAAAGAATTATTATCAATATCTTTTCAAGGAATCATATCAAATATCCACCTTCCGAGTACTAAAATGCAAGATTTGCAAAGTATCAAATTAATTACAGGTATTATGCCAGTAGATATAAGCATAGCTTGCATACCTGAACTGAGTAGCATGAAGTGTTGATAAGTTAATTTTTTAAAAACTCATGGGACATTTTTATAAACAGAATTAATGACCTCATATTTATGAAGTGTCAGCAGACTACTTAAAATATCTTGAATTACATTTTTAATGTTTTCATTATATTTAACTTTTAGTTTATATGTCACGTTTTCTTTTGTATAAATTTTATCCCTGCTGTGTACCTTCACATTCATAGTAATAATATCAATTTTTCTATTATACATACCTTTTTTTTTGTATTTATGTGCTTTTTCAGTTTTTATTTGTTACACTTCATTTTGACAATTTGACACAAAACACATGTTTGTCAAGGTGTTGTCAAACCCTTTTAATCATTTTTAATTTTATTATCAGCCAGTTTTGTTTGTGGTTAAGGTTGAAAAAGATTGTCTTGTTTATTTTTTTTCTTCCTTGTCTCTGACCTCTATAAAAGGTAGCAAAACTGTGTAGTTGTTTTCACAATAAACCGGAACAAATGTTCATCCACACAATATTGCATTTTTATTGAATAATTTTCTGATATCATTAAGGTATAATTGAAGACCACCTGGAAGATTGTCAAGGCATCTGCAATTTCTTTACGGACATTTATGGGTGTATAGAACCAGATGTTGTATACTCATAGAAGTACCATGCTGTTTCGGCCACTCATTTTCCACCTCTTTAATAAAACAAAAAATGAAAACCAAAGATGTTTATTATTGTTTTTATTACAGATATGGAGTCGCATATTCTGAATATGTACCATCAACCACGTTTCCGTTCTATTGGTCATAAGTTACTGCGGTCCACAAGTGAATCGCTGTCTTCCGAAGGCAGCTGTCAACAGAACAGTCCGGAATACACTCGAGAGCAGCAAACAAATCAGTATGAAGAGGAAAGTAATGAAGGGGAGTACTGGCAGCCTCAGGACAATCAGGGTCAAGTATGGAATGAGAATAATGAGAATGTTAGTAATTCTTTTTCAAAATAATATCCATTAAATTCAAAATGTTTCTTTAATATTCCCTTATGTTAACAGTGTGTTACCGAGCAATCAAGTCAAGAGTCAAGCTCTGATGAAGAAAATGATGTACAGGACAATGAGGGTCTTGACAGAACAGCACAAGATGTTAGTCATATAGAACAAATAAGTACAGAAAGTGTAGATAGCTGTTCTTTGGTGGAGGGCGCTGATTACGATGTTATTCAAGTTTATGCTGTACATCCAGATTTTGATCTTGAAGCGTCATCCGATGAAGATGAGCAAATTGATTATTGTGTAGAAGAATCTTCTGATTCATCAGATATAGAGGAAAAACCTAATGAGGATCAAGAAGATGTAAACGACTCTTCAGACGATGACAGCACTAGCGATACATCGGAGGAAAGTCATGACGGCTCAGGTATCAATTTAGATGCTCCAGTAGTTTCAAATGTCGATGAATATTTCATAAAAGATACAAAAGAAAAGAATATACTGGATATAAAAGATGAACCTGTCGTTAATGACGTAGATGAATATTTTATCAAAGAAACAACACATGCACCACGTATTGCAGCGGAACATGAACAAAACGTTCCAAGTATAGCTAATATAGATGATTTATTAATTAAAAAGCAATCAACAGCTTCCGCATTCCACATACCTAAAGTTACTCCGATTATAACTGATATATTTGAAGTATCACAGAATGTTAAAGACGAGGTAGATCAAGACACGGTTGACGATGTACCCGAAGAAGTACCGATAGCTGAAACAGTTTTGGATATGCGTGGTAACCACGTGCCACGTATGTTTAGAAATGTCGATGATATTAAGAAATTTCTATTCTCAGATATAAGTGATACGAAATATAAACATGCACAAAAATCATGCTCAGTACCCCATTCACCTTTGCATAGTATTTGTATGGATGTCGATGCTAAAACTTGTATGAGCTTTGAAGACCTAAACCTCGATTTGACGGGTATCAATTTTGACAGTGGCACGGATAAATCAGCCAACAGTTCTAAAAGTGACGACATTCCACGTACACTAACCGATGAAGATGTTAATAGCTTTTTAATAACTGATAAACCGCAAATCAACACTATGAAAACAGAAGATGATTTCGATCCCCAGGACATGGAAATAGATGGCTCAATAGAAACTTCTATTAGCAATATTGACGTACCACCATTAAAGTTGGCTAGAAACAACTCGTCTACACCACTACCGAATGTGTTGGAATTCTGTATAGAAAAGTCTCCAGTTAAAAAAGAAAACGACCTCAAAGTGGAAGTAGACGATTTTGTGGACGTTGAATCTTGCAACGAAACTATCAACCCCATATTCGAAGCTGATAATGAGAAATCTCGCTTTGAACCGATAAAGATAGAGAATAACAATATGAAAACAAAGAAATCAACGATCAAAATAAATGAACATAAAGGAAAATCATGCAACGCTTTAACGAATGGTATGCGACTACAAGACGCCGGTGTACAACTAAATAAGAACAAAATGAGAAAAATCATGGTAAGTTTTACTTATTTTCTTAGTACTAAAACCTAGGATAATTTAATAGAGAAATTATTCTAGATTTACATTATTACAGATGCCGACATCAATAAATACTGCCGTCAGGCGCTCACCAAGTCCAGTCCGTTCTGATCATGATTACTGTTCTGCCAAAAAACGTTACCTCAGTTCGAAAGGACAAAGTCTGCTAAAACCCGAAGTCTTGTCGAGTAATAATAGAATTTTGAATTCTAGACACAGATCTTGCAAGAATAAGAAAATAGTATACCATTTGAGTAGTGACGAAGAAAGTGATAAATGTAACAGTACCAAAATGAAAAAATCAACAAATCTTCGTTCCAGTGATGATAATGATGTGAAATTAAGAAAGTCTGTTGTAAAACAACCTGTGAAGGCTACGGTTCCATCGACTTGCCGGAAGAAAACATCACCAATGCGTAGTGTTAGCGATAACAGTTTTGATAAAGGCAACGATTCTGTGATGGTTAAAAATGCTTGTAAAGCAAGTGATAATCCTAGTAGTCAAAGTTCTAATGGTAGCATTAAGTTAACTATTAAAAATAAATCTGAAGTAATCATTAAAAACTGTGATGATATTAAAGACTATAAAAAAGATAAAAAAATAGAAAAAAATAAATCGATAAATGTTGTAAGTGACAAATCAAACGTTAAAACTAATGCTGTTAAAGTCGTCGAGACTGTAGATAGTAATAAAAATGAAATTGTAAATACTGTTGACGTACATAATACTAGCGTAAGTGTAAAGGAAGAAAATCCAAAACCGGAACATTTTTATAACGCACTATTTAGTAACAAACAAGATGTTTTAATGCCGATCGATATAAAAACAGAGAAGCGATCTCACGAAGAAGATCTGGCACAGTTTAATTTGCCAGAGGACGTAGTAACTAAGATTGAAATGGAGCAACCTCAGAAGAAGAAGAAATTAAATCTACAGGAATATAAATTACGGAGAGGGGCTAGCTCTAACAACAGTTCAGCCACCGTGAGCCCTGAATCTATATTCCCTGATATGCCGATTCCAGATATAGCCAAAATTGTGAAATCTACAGCTAGCCAGACACCAGCTAACACAAATTTGAATTGTGCTCCTAAAGATTTAGAGGCTCCTAAAAAAATCTTTGATCCAATTAGAGAAGCTTCAAGAAAAATTCTAATGAATAATAAAAAACAAAAAGCTGAAGCTATAAGGAAAAGGGATGAAGATATCGTTATGAGTAAAATACCAAAAGTTGAAAATCTGGAATTGCAACCTTTAATCAGTGAAGCAGAGATGATGAAGATTGTTGGGATGGCGAATGACATTCTTCCAGCTCCTATAGTTGTTGAAAAAGTACCACCATTGAGTGATTACGATGAAATCGTTGTAGTTAGTATTGGAACTAATACTGACGAGGAAGTATTTAAAAAGATAGAACTAGATGATGAAAATCAAAAGAAAAAATCACAACCCCCTCCAACAGATATTAAATCAACGATTAACTTTAAAATCAAGAAACCAGATCATGTCCTTAAGCACAACATATTTGACACTGTTCCAAAAGATAAGAGCCCAACTGAAGAAATTAAAGTTACCGATATAAAATTAAACGAAAACAGATATAAAGATATAACAGCTACTTTGAAAAGTGTAGAAAAACAAGTGGAAACAAAAATATCTAGTAACTCATTGTTTGCTAGCATACAGGATGTGGTTATGAAGAAAGCGCCTGAAGTAACGGTTATGGCAACCACTAACGGAGAACATAAACCCAAATCTTCAATAGAAAAGAAAAATAATTTTAAATCACCTAAGACGTTAATTATACGTGATTACGACGTTCAAGGTGAACACGGAGAGGATAAGATAATTTTACATTTAGAAAAACAAAGAACTAAACCTATTGCCTTAAGTATAGCCATTCAAACGAATCCTGCGCCGAAGGTTGTTAATAAATCTAAATTGGTAACACCTGAAAAGGTTGCTAGTCCTAAAGATGAATCTACGAATAGAAAAAGAAATGACAGTGATATGTCAATGTCCAGTGAAAGCAGCCCTGATCGTAGGAAGACGGACAATAAAATCGCCAAAGTAGAAGAAAAAAATATCAAGAAACCCGAGAAACGGGAAAGTAGCACGACGCATACGAAAGAGAAGCGATCGAATTCTAGGGATAGATACGATTACAAATATCGGAGATCAAGGTCGATATCACGCGGGCACAGGAGGAAACGTTCCCCAAGCAGGAACCGATCTAGATCCAGAAGTAGATACAGACGGTATCGGCGATCTGATTCCCCATACAGAAGGAAACGGCGGTCGCGTACAAGATCGCCTTATCGTAAACGAAGATCGCCGACTCCAAGACGCGAATATCGGCAGAGATCTCGCTCGAGATCCAAACACGCGGAGCCTAAGAGATCAAAAAGTCCGGTTAAAAGGACCAAACCAAGTCCTCAATATGAGAGTAATGCTGATAAAAAAGTTCTCGTCTCACTAACACCACCCTTAATACGAAAGCCTACTGTATCAGAAAGCTCCGAATCGTCCACTAGGTATGTATATTAAAATCAAAGAGCTACAAATACATAGAGGGGGCATAGTTAAATTTACTTGAAATATTTTTCCTTTGTAACATGGTTTAGTTTATTTATAAGAAAAAAAATGACCTTAATAATTTTGTATTAAAACGTTTTATTGCATGTAACACATGAGGTGGCACTAAACTTGACAACTGATATAGTACCTTTCAGAGAAAGTACCAGTGTAAATTTTTGTTTACTATGCCTCGTCTATATATTATTTATATATCTTTGATTAAAATGCATGTGTTTATGAATGCACAACAAAAAAACATAGTTTTGGACTGTCGTAAGTATTTGTCATTGTATTTTTGATTGTTTTAGATATCTAGTGGTTTAAAAAATGTTTTTACATATATTAATGTGTTAATATTTTTTTCTTAATAGCAGTAGTTCATCGTCTTCATCAAGCAGTAGTTCTTCAGAGGAGTCAGTCAAGTCGCGCGTCTCCAGTACATCCTTCAGGAAAGACAAGACGTTCAACAATTACAGAACATATAGTTCTGAAGATGGGTAAGTCTTTGCCTTTTGGTTGTAGTTGAACATTGATTCCGCAGTAAAAATTCCCTATAAAGTACTGTCTATGTTAATTTCCAATGTCAATTTGCGCTAAAAAATATATGTGATACTAGTCGTTGCTCGCGTTTGTCCGCGTGAAGTTAAAAACAAATGTAATCTGTGTTACTCACAGATATATTATCTTTAAAAGGGTGAAATAATTATTAAAACCGGTGCAGTAGTTTTTGAATTATTACAATATATAAAAGAATACACAAATACAAATCTTTCCTCTTTATAATGTTACAAATTTTCCCTCTTGATAAAGAAATATTTTTATTTTTGTGTAACGAGTAAACTCAAAAACTGCTGGACCGATATTAAAAATTCTTTCACCATTAGAAAGCTAAATTATAACTAAGTGTAATAGGTCATATTTATTGCTAGATTTCTTTAATACCGTGCGAACGAAATCGCGTGCAACAACTAGTAGTTAAAACGATTTAAAAAATAATTTAAGTACCAAAAAATAAATTATATTGTACTAATAGTATTAATAAAAATTCTAAACAAATGCGCTGAATAAAGTCGTAAGAGGGAAAGAGACAAAAAACATAATTTTCTTTTAATAACAGCGCCATCTATTGTATTTAATGTACTAAACCCTAGAAAATCTTTCTAGGGAGAACAGCACGCCAGTAGAAGAACGTCGTATAGTGTTCGTGGGCAAGCTAGAGAAGGATTTAAGCAAAGCCGCGCTACGAGCCTTGTTCAGTAAATTCGGTCCCATCACTGAAGTTAGGATACACACTAAAGATGATGGGTAAGTATGTTTTGTCCCAATTGTTGCGGATAACATTTGAATTTAGACATTTTCAAGTGTAAATAGAAACATTTAGAAATAACTAGCTTCCGCCCGCGACTCCGCCCGCGTGTAATAAAAAAAACAAAAGTGAGTAGCCTATGTGTTCTTCCAGACTATCCTCTACATCTGTACCAAATTTCATTGAAATCCGTTCAACCGTTTAGGCTACAAACTCTAACAAACATCCATCCATCTAAACTTTCGCATTTAAAATAATAGCATGATATATGATAAAGTATACGAATCCATGCAGGATCAGCTAGTCTATAGTAACAATAAAAAGATTTTTATTTTTGTATGTATTGAAATAACTCTAAACACAACAAAAAACTCCGTTCAAGGGTTAAAAAGTTACGTTACTAGGGATTATTTCCAACCGTTATCCTGCTCTATCCCCACGTGAGATCAGATGAGAATAAGAAGTTTCATCCGTCCCACCTTTTGCGACGAGGACGGTTGGAAATTTTATTTCTTAACGGTTCCATCTCTCACATTGGTGATAGTGGGACTAAAAGGTGGGACGGATGAAACTTTTTATTCTCATCTATCCCCAGGACAGAGCAGGGTGACGGTTGGGAATAACCCGTTACTACTAGGTAACAGACTAGTCGCGAGCAACAAGCTAGTTAGCTATAAACGTTTAGTAGAAATCATTATTGGTATAAGGAAGAAGTTAAGGTAATTGTGCGGGAACAGGTCTAGGTACGGTTTCGTGACGTACCGCAAGTCGCGTGACGCGTGGTCCGCAGTGGAAGCCGCGGCTACTTTCCCCCAGTATGACGTCGGCTTCGGCGGCCGCAGAGCATTCTGCAGGCAGACGTACTCTGATTTAGGTAAGTAAGATAAAATCCAATAACAGACATGGTTCATATTTAGCCAGTACAGTTAGTAGCTCAACTGGACTGACAACTGGCACATTGTTGCTGGCTCCATGTAAGCTATGTCCAAGTGTGAACCGGGCACAATAGTACGGATCCCAAGAGTAGGTTTGAAACTCATTCGAGTATTGCAGGGGTGGTAAACCTTTATTAAGGTCCAATTATTTTAATATAATATATTTGTTTTTATGATTATTATGTAGATTTCATTCGTACCTTTTATGGACACAAATTTCATTTTGTACTACGAAAGACATTATGAAGCTTTATTAATTAGTGCATGATGAAATTTGTGTTTATTAAAAGCACGTGTGCCAACAGTTCGCCACCCCTGGATTATTATCATGAAGTCATCTAACGATTCTAGTTTAATTGGAACGGTCACAAATATTAGTACTTATAATCTAATGTTGAAAAATAAGATAACGTATACTAAATGTGAATAAAAACCTTTTAGGACCCGTTCACACGGATTGACTGTAGAGTAAATTTTTATCGCAAATGAAATTGAGATTTATAATATTGTAACTAGAGATGTGTCATATCTGTTTTTTTTTAAATCGTACCTGAATCAGATTTCGATTTTCAATATCAGATATCAAAACTATATACTATAATATATAGATATTTTTGGCTCGCGTAACCATTTTAGAATCATAAATCATAACACGGTTGAAATGAATCATTAACTTCCACTAATATATTTATTTTTATTGTAATTAACACTAATATAATTTTTTCTGTTATTATTTTAAATTGAAACTATTAATTACAGAGTCTATTAAATTAGAACAAATTACAGGGTCTTCAAAAATCGTATTTCTAAATTTTTAAAACGCATAGAAAATTAAGGCAAACTTTCTACCGCAATTACACATTTCGAAACAATTTAACTAAAACGATGCGACGAGGTCGACTTCAAGGTTAAATAAACAAAATTTAAAACATGACAATTTAAATTTATTTGAAACTAAGCTTTATTAGTCCATGACAAAAATACCGTGTTTAAATCTGCTAGTAAGATATCAAAAAACTATATTGATAATATACGATATTTTACAGTTATTAGAAACTAAACTTTATTCGTACAACAATAGTATTTAAAATAGTCTATGACAAAAATATCGTGTTTACATGATATCCTACATTTATTTGAAACTAAGCTTTATTGTTATAGCAATAGACTTTAAAATAGTCCATGACGGAAATACCGTGTTTAAATCTGCTAGTAAGATATCAGAAAACTATATTGATATTATACGATATTTTACAGTTATTTGAAAGTATACTTTATTCGTATAGCAATAGTATTTAAAATAGTCTATAACAAAAATACCGTGTTTACATGATATCCTACATTTATTTGACACTAAGCTTTATTCGTATAACAATAGACTTTAAAATAGTCTATGACAAAAATATCGTGTTTAAACGATATTCTACAGGTATTTGAAACTAAGCTTTATTGGAATAGAAATAGACTTTAAAATAGTCCATGACAAAAATATCGTGTTTAAATCTTCTACTAAATATCAGATTTTTTGAATTGCGACGGATATACCTTACCGCTCTAATGCAATATATGTCTGTCTCATGCGATTTGGCGATTTGTCGTACAGACGACGCCGATGCGTGTCGTACCGCGTAGGTAGAAATATATAGTTATTGAAAAAATATAGTTATGGAACAAGCCCGTATACGATTTTCAGATATTGATTGAATATATAGTTTTTGAAACTATATATGATTTGTATCGCCCACCTCTAATTGTAACAAGGTTTTTTTGACCTTTACATGTCTTTTTTATTTTGTTCTTTATAAGATAATACAAAGTAAATATAAACCATATTTGTAATGTTTTTGCCATGTAAATCTTCCTTGCTCTACTATCCGGTCTGTGTGAACGGACCCTAACAGATTATGACGTATTTATCACCTAAGTTTTGATAATAAATTGCAAGTTAGATAAAAGTGTATATCTACGGTTTTATACACGTGATTTTCTATTGATAACATTGACACTTCATGAATTGGTTATCTAGAACATTTATCTATAGGAACATAGAGATATAAAAGTATAGAAAGCATGGCCTATACTGGAACGAATTTAACTGCTTCGCCGTTTACAATCTGACGGTTGTCAAATTTAAAAAGGAATCAGATGTAGGGCCTGTCCCACTAAATTGTAAATTGTCTAATAACAATCCAAAGCAAATACGTGATGGAAATACCGGATTTTGTTACCTTATCTGACAGTGACGTCATTAAGCTATCTGAGCCTCTATCAGCTAGTGGTGGGAAAGGCCCTAAAAGCGGAAGCATTTGACTGAACTATGGCACAAATGTTGTTGGATTGTCGATTGTTTCGTAAAATTCAACTGTTTTGCACAGCTAAAAATCGAATAGTATGTCCATATAAGCTCGTAGGAATCAAAGCGAGACAACCGTTGTGCGATAGTTCAGTAGAAGCTGACGCACACTCTAAGATTGGCATATAACTTATAACACGGCTAAACTCACGTGACAACGTTCGTTGAACGACAGTTTCGAACCCGTTGGTGGTCCTTCTTTAGCCGTGTTATAAGTTACATAGTCTCACGAGTTTTAATAAAATGACAATTTGATAGCGTATTTTAACGTTCGTTTCACTATTCTGCCGTTTACACCGTATGTTCAAATTACAATAAATTGTTTAAATACCTATACAAACAAATATGATAATATAGAAAAAAAATATTGATAATTAGTTCAGTTATAAAAAAAAGTTTCTGATAGTAAAAATATCGAAGCTAAGACTTTGCTAAACGTATTAGGAGTTATTTTTATCTAAATTTGTTTTATCATACATGTTATCAGTGAGTTTATGTTTCTTTGATAGTGGTATTTATTTACTTTGATAGAAGTACGTAATGTCTTATCAGTCTAATATTAGATAAGGTTACCAGTAACTTTTATCTGCAAGTTAGCGAGAATATTGAGGGGCGCGGTATTGCCCCTGTTAATATGAGCATGGATGTAATCTTTTTTGTAGCATGTTAGAAAACTGCAAATTAAAAATCTTTTTAGTTAAATTATAGAATTTAATTTGTCAATAGTAGTATTTTTTTTTCGTCTTCGACATATTGTCACGTAATCGAAATCAATAGAAATGAGAAATTATAATAAACATATCCAAACAGTTTTAATCTTAAGGCTTTATCACAGATTTTTTTGAGACATACATATTTATAAAATTAACTAGCTTTCGCCCGCGACTCCGTCCGCGTGGAATTACAAAAAACAAAAGTGAGTAGCCTATGTATTCTTTCAGACTGGCTACATTTATACCATATTTCTTCGAAATCCGTTCGGCCGTTTCGGCTACAAACTTTAACAAACATTTATACGAACTTTCGCATTTATAATATTAGTATGATTAATATGATTTATACACTATCAACCAATATACTCGTAAATTCGTTTTAAAGTTAAACATAGGAATAAACTAAGTATAAGCAACATTAGTTTTTATTTGCTTATACTCAAATTCCTAAGTTTAATTTTACACCGTGTTTATTTGTAAGGCTGTAAAATGTTACAAAACATCTAGATAAAAATGAATTTGTAAAGACAGTGTATGTTTCTCATTTGTAGAAACAAACTGATCAATTGAGAAATATTACGTGACAAAAACGTATATACGGTAATCAAAATTATCTCCTATTAGATAAGATAGTTCCTAGTGATAGTAAACTACGTGTTAACCGCTTTTACATCATCTTAAAATAATGCCTCGTTTACACTTGGCCAGTAGCACAGTAAGTCTTCACATTCCAGTTGTATATTAGAACCTAACTTTACTGGCATCTAATCTAATCAATCATTACTCACATTATTACTATTATGTTATTTTACGTTTTAATGTTTTATTACTATGATTTTTTTAAAATAATTCCTACATATAGTATTAAAGCAACTTAAAGGCGTCTATATTCTGGTATTACTGGGTTACGATGATCACATTGGTGTCCCCATCGCTTTTGCCCTTTTAAAAGTAATAAAACGTTATTGGCAATTCTAATTTGATCCACTGATCCATTCCAAAATTCTAAATTATAATAAATGTTTAACAGATGGCCTGGAGGCTAAATATTCAGAGAGTGCGTTTCTCGGCCAGCCGGCGTTGCCCGCGCGCCGTACTAACGACATGTCCTTCGAACAAATGCTATTAGACGTGAAAAAGAAATTGATCCAGCGCAAGGGCGATAAAAAACGCAACGATGAATCGCTGGCTTGACATTTACTCCACCTTTGCCCGGAATTCGCGGGCATTCGCGTCGCCGCCTGTCAAAGTGACAGCGCGCGCGCGATGACATTGACAGCTGTCAAGTTTCATTGTGATGTAAAAGACTTTCCGGTGTTTGATTTTGCTCACACGTACCTATGTTTAGTTAAATTATGTTAGTACATTGTTTGTCAATAGTTGAGTTTACGTTTTTTTTTTTGTAAATATTAGTTTTTATTTTTTTTCTTCCGTCATACTCGTACATAGATAATATTTGTTATCGCTACCTCTTATTTTAATGCAGATTGCCGAGTGAGTAAACGATTACCGAATTAATCGATTCGAAGTCTTAATATTGTTACAAGATGTATCAAGATCAAAATATTCTGATGTAGTGTTCATTGTACTTTAGTCCGGCTTATACCATTCCAGTCCAGCTATCAATTCCAGCGCTGGCTTATAGGTATAATTTTTAAATTTAGTTTAAAATGCTGCGTTAGATCCTGTTATCTTTTTTGTATCAACCACCGCTGGCTTTACTGACTGGACTGGAATGATGCTAACCCGGTATAACAGAGTTCATAAGTTATAGATGTAATAACCATAACTTTAAGATTAATTGCTGTTACCTTATAACTTAAAACCATGTTATTTACTATTTAGTGTTAATAGCTGATCAAATGAGAGGAATAAAATGTTTATAAAATATCGAATCTTTTTACAGTAATTTTGTTTCGGTTTACTTCCATTTTGTGCCAAATATTATAAGATTTCTTTTTGCATTTGTCACTTAAATCTGCTTTTAAATGTAACAGCTTGTTAAGTGGCTCCCAAACTTTGAGTACAAATCTATATTTTTTTTTCATAGAAACACAAAAAAAAACTTATTAAGGGCCTGTCTTACAATTCGTGTAAATTGTCAGATAACAATCCAATATGAAATATGTGATGGAAATATCGGATTTTGGTACCCTGACAGTGACGTCACTAAGTTATCTGAACTTCTATCAGCCAGTGGTGGGACAAGTCCTTAAACTAGAAAAAATGAAATTTGTAGTTGGATAAAGTTTATATTTGAAACAGTTTGGGAAACACTGCTTTTAAATGTATTTGTCATACATTTGTATGGTTATTTATGGGATTATAAGCACACAGGTTTACATTTTTGAAGTTGTAATAACTTAAGTGTACAGGAATATACTTGATTAATGCAATAATTTTTTGATACGAGAATACTTTTCATGTAAATATTCTGAAGTCACTATTTATGTATATTAAAGTACAGATTGAAAATCACAAAATGAAATTTTCTATTTCACTGACTAGTTTGAACTATGACGTCATATGTCTCGATTTATTTTTAAATGCGCAAATATGTTATCGACTTTGATATTAGTGCAATTTTAAATGAGTACATCATAGATGCCTAGTTTATAGCATGTTTCCATTGTATAAAAATATTTATTAGACAAAATGCAGTATAAGTTCCTACTTAAATTTAAATATATACCAATTTATATATATATTTAATAACAATATATATACATATATAGGTATTAAATGCTCCGCACAGTACACTTTCACAGCTGTTATGTTTTGAGCTTTGGTAATTTGTTAAAAAAACAATAAAATCAATGAAAAAAATCAATAAAAAAATGTACTTTAATGTAATTAGCAATCTGCATTAGGGTAAAGTAATAAAAGACTGTTATAATATTAAAAATATTAAAATTTTAATATGAAAATGTCATAATATTGTCATATTCGACTTGTAATATTTATGACAATATAACTTTATTGAAATAAATACTATGTTCCTTTGTCTCTTTATTCGTTATTAAAATACACAGATAACGGTTATTTAGTTATTTCAATTGAGGGTTTTTCGAATTTAATAAATTTCAAGTTTTTCATTTACCCATTTGGCTTACATTGGATTACACCTTTGGCTTATATTGATTTACACATTCGGCTTGCGTAGTCTTACACAAATGACTTACAAAATTATAAATGACTTTTCACAGATATATAACTTTTTTAGAATATTGTTTCGGCAAAAAGTTAACTCTACAATAAATGCCTAAAAAACGCCTTAGTATTTAGTATTCAGGCCTTTGTAAATGTTACGCATTAAAAGTATGCTTCTGTGTTACCCTTATTAGTAACAAAATATACTATTTGGTAGCTTTTTAAAATATATATACAGAGAAATATTTTTAAAGTAAAAAAGTGGATTTTACAAAATAAAAATGATTTTTTGCGTAATTATATTATGTTAAAAATGCTGTTATCCTCAAAATCTTAATTGTTACTTGAACATATTTCTTGCTCTAAATCTACGCTAAGGGTAGATCTTAACACGACTTTGCGTGAGGCAAAAATGATGTATTCTAAAAGTATGTAGTTTTAAAATGAAATCTAAAAAAAATATTTTTAATACTGTGGCAAGTATGGAGCTTTTTAAATTGATAAAGCAGGGAAATAAAAAAAAGATAGAAATTAATGCTTAGTAAATATAGTTATATAAATAAGAGATATATCGCTTTTAAAAATCCTATTTTACAGATAAAAACGTCCATAATATAAAAGTTTATACTATTTTTTGCAATTTGTAACATACTTAAACTTTCGTGAAACGTTATAACTACGACGGTTAGAAGGCGGAAACGACTAGTTTTGGACCCTATGAGGTCTATCTTCAAGGCGAAAGTTACGACGGCGAAATAACATCAGAACATTCGCCCTGAAGATGGACCGCCTATGGGTCTGAAACTAGTCGTTGCCGCTAGAAAAATAGACGTAATAGCCGCTTAATAATTAGTTAACAAGGCTAAGGTCACATTATTAAACTATGGTCAATTATGGATTCCACACTATGGACCTCTTATTGGCGGTACATTTCGCTTTGTTAGCAGTTACAATTTACAGACGTCAACATTTCAATGGAATTCAGAGTTCAGAATTTAAAAATATACATTGAAATGTCGTTTAAGTAATAAATACTGTGTTACCAGTTTAATTGGTAGGATGTTTAACACTTGTGTGCTTAGAACTCCCGTATTTTTGTAACTATTGGTAGGTTTGTGTGGCAATGTTTATGTATAATGTTGCCAGCAAATGTATTTCCAAGAAACGTTTACTTAGATAATTAAAGACTAGTCAATGTTACTGAATGATATTGTGTTTTTTTTTTCGTTGTGATGATATTTTTTTTTTTAGTTAAAATTAAGTTTTAATTTTTTAACCGTTTTAGTTATTTTTTTAATACTAACTAGTAATATAAAAATCTATGCGGGGGAGTTAGACTTCTTTTTAATGTATGTAGTTCCATATTTTCCCGCAATATGGCGACGATTTTTATATTTCCGGTTAGGTAATATCAGCAATTTTACTTAGGATAGCTCTTGCTTTGAAAAAATACATTTCTATGCTTAAAAATATTATTATGAAAAAAAAAATCGTTTCGTTTTTAAGAAATTAAAAAATAAGGATATTGATTTAGATTTCTAAATATCATTGAACCGTAAAAATCGTAAAAATTATTTTAATATATTTCAGGGTTCACATTACATTGACTATGCTTTAAAGGTAATTTAATACATTAGATTGAATGTCTAATAGAAAAAAACTATCAAAAGTGACAGCTGTCAAAGCGCCGTGTTGCCACTACTGAATGGACTACCTTTTTATACCAAGTTTATTTTTGCAGCTTTCAAAACGAGCGTTTAGATATAAAAAGGCAATTTGTGATTAATTCTGAATGCAAATATTATAAACAATTGAGTACATTTTGTACCGCTATTAGCAAATACTCAAAACTATGTTAGCATTGACAAACTGACCCGATGGGCATAACAGCTCACTAGCGCCACAACGTCAAACATTACTGATCTGAATAAATGGATAGGCGATTTAGAAATGATACCTTTTTTCAGACTTAACGTATTTTTTGCTAATGACGGGTCTAATGTTAAGTCTATCAATATACTAGTTCGAACACTTCAACCGCAGTTCAAAGCCTATCCATTTATAGAGGTCTGTGACTAGCTGTTTTGTTATATAATTTTCTACGCCCGAGTTGATTTTATATATTTTCTAGAAGTAGCCGCGATAGCAGCGCCTCTATCGGGTCGGGTTTTGTCGTATAATTTTAATTTTGTATGTTAGATGGCTGGATCAGTGCTATTTTGTGAATATACTTTAATACTATTATAATAAAGTCTATTTTGCTGTACCTCATTTTGTTTGTCATTTTTTATATTGTGTTATGTTCTTAACATAGTATTAAGGTTTAAAACATAAAATATTGTTAATAAAGACAATTTTTAAAATTGGTATTGATCAAAAGTTCTTGTGACTGAAAATTAGACCGTATACACTTGTGTTAAGTACGACATTTGAATGTGAACGGGGTATGTACATTTGAAAAGTCCAATTTTTATTATCTCTGTATAACGAGTAGCGTATATAAATATGTTTAAATAGTTACGGCGAGAACGTTTTATACGTAATGTTGTTGAAAAATAAAGTATTTTGAACAAATGAGTTTTATTATTAAATCCCTATAAAAAATCAAATCAACTTATAGTAACGAAGACGTCTGGAAAAACTGAAATGTAATTAAAATTGGTCGTTGTTTATACAGTTTAGTATTTAATACTGTTTAAGTGCCATCTATTGGTAACAATTGGAACCACAATTGAAATGTTTTAATTTCTCCAAAAATACAATAGATGTCTCTAATTAAAATTAGTCGTGGTTTTACAGTATGGTGCCCCATGTCTGTGTTTCCGTATTCTAAGACTTTAAGTGCCATCTATTGGTATAAATAAGAACCACCAGTGAAAATAAAGTTTTTATTTATCCAAAAATACAATAGATGTCTTAAAACTACGGTTTTAATACATTTTTTGATAGATGTCGCTACGCATCAGTTTTTTTAATTGCGAATATTTGAGACACGAATATTATTTACATTTTAACTCGTTTACTGGTTTGCCATGAATATTTCAGAGAAATAATTCGTAATAAATCGACAAATTTTATACAAGACTTGTCCAGCGGTAAAGCAGTAAAGTACATCATGGACTTCAGCTTCCCCTCCTTCCTGGAAAGAAAATTGCAAAATAAATGTACAAATTAATTAAAAAACCCTTATGTTCCTACAATCATTAGTATTATAAACTTGTGTAAACTAAAAAAATCCTTTTTTAATTAAAGCATCCTTTTTAAAAAGAAGAAAAGTGTTTTTATTGATAGTTCCCCGTATCATCGACCTGTCCCCCCCACCCCTAGATCATCGCCTAGTGACGCCGATGCTGCGAAAACGTCTGTTGTCTGTAAAAATAATTCCAAGTCTACTGTATTAAATCAGCATACACTTAGATCAATATTAGTCCACTTAAATTGATAAGTATAGTACTAGTACAACATAGTTTTCGCCCGCGACTCCGTCCGCACGGAATTAAAAAAAAGACAAAAGTAGCCTATGTGTTCTTTCAGATTATCCTCAACATCTAACACTTTCATCGAGATCCGTTCAGCAGTTTAGGTTACTAACGAACATCCATCTAAACTTTTGCATTTATAATATTACTAGCTTTCGAGCGCAACTACGCAAGCGTGGTATTAAAAAAAGTGACTCATGTTCTTCCAGACTATTCTCTACAACTATGCCAAATTTTATTCAGATACGTTCAATCGTTTAGGCTACAAACATCCATCCATCTACGCAAGATATGACAAATAATCAATGTCATCATCAACTTGCCCTTATCCCTTATGGAGGGTCGGCACAGTATGTGCTGCTCTTCCATACATCTCTATCAGATATGACGGATATCTGAATCCACTCCCTTCTTAAATATATCCTGTTTCACACAATCCATCCATACTTTCTTCGGTCTTCCTCTTCCTTTG